ACACACACACACACACACACACACACACACGCATACACACATACACACACACAAACATATTCATGCAAAAACATATGTCTTTCTTCACTGTATTTACGATACAATACAATGCAATATATAAAATACGATACGATTTAGTGCAGTGCCGTACAACCAAAGATAGTACCTTTGGTACAACGCAACGCAACGCAATTCACTACAGAACAGTACAGCACAACTTATTACACGAATTATTGTGTTTAGCTATGATTTTTAGTTTGAGTGAAAAATGGCTGCGTTGTAATGACGAGTTCCAATAAATGATTACAACTCTATTTCACAATAGGAAAAATCAGCTGAGAAGGCTGACTTTTTTGAGAGAGTAATAAGAGTGAGACGAAGAACCAAATAGAGATGAGTCCACACGTGAAAAACCCCCGTAACAGGCGATAAGCAGCCTACTTTTTATTCCAGATGATATCACTGAGTTGTGAATGAAAACAAATCCCGCTATTCATTTCACGCACACCCTCCAAAATAACAGAGAAATATCTCATTTAAAAAATATTCCTACTTTGGTCAAAACGCAATTATAACTTTTGAACCTTCGGTAGGTATGACAATGTCAATATTTTTAATACACAAAAAGAATGCCATAACACTGAGATGATAATACTGCTATCAATTTGGTTTCAAATTTAGCTGTCTCCATATAACTTTACGTGACTAGGAGTAGAGGTCTTAATCACTTAATGACCTGATTTATCGGTCGCTTGAAAGTCGAATGAAAAGGTCACAAACTAACTTACTGCAGCCAGAAGCTTGTTTGGAGTTGATCATCTTATCTTTTTGGCATAGACTCGACCAGTCTAACTATCTAATAATGGGGGGGGGGGGGGTAACTTTGTGTCAATGAAACACTGTCAAGTGTTTTACACCTTATCTTTGGTGATTTCATAAACGGCCATTATAAATGTTGACCTTTGGCCCTTAAATTTTTATAACATAACATAACATAACATAAAATATGCAATGTAATGTAATATGACGTTACATTATGGTGCAATATAATATAAAATAATAGAATAGAAAAGATTTTTTTTTTGGGGGGGGGTGAGAGGGTAAGTGTTTTACGGCGCTCACAACTTCATAAGGTCATATGAGCGCACGGGACACACTAAACATTTTCAGTAGGTAGGAAATTTGGAATTTTGCCACGGTGGAGGCCAAAGCCTACTCTTGTCGATTTTAGACCACAAGGGATCTTTAACGTGCGCAACTTGCGCCTTGTCCGAGAAGGCTAGGTGTAGATCTTTCTCACCAGAAGATCAGGGGTGTGACTGAAAGACAGCAGTAAGAAGGAGCCAAGGAGTAGCAGTAGAAAGGCTGCAGAAAGAGACAGGAGCCCTAAGGAGGAGGCAAAGAAGGGGGAGGCATTAGAGGCAGAAAGTGGAGACGAAAGCAGACGTCAGAGCATTGCTAAAGAGCAGGAAAGGAGGTGAAAGGAGACAATTTCAGAGAAGAATTTTTTCCGTAACTACCCGGACTCAAACCCGGGGCCTTTGAATGAGAGGCGAACACCTTAACATCAAGGCCACGAGAGCCCCCCCCCCCCCTCCAATAATAATAGAATAGAAATTTATATAATAAATATGATATAATTTTATATAAAATAGTATAATATAACATAATATAATAAAAGATAGATAGATAGATAGATAGATAGATAGATAGATAGATAGATAGATAGATAGATAGATAGATAGATAGATAGATAGATAGATAGATAGATAGATAGATAGATAGATAGATAGATAGATAGATAGATAGATAGATAGATAGATGCCTCTCCATACGCCTGGAATGTTCTATTCCAAAGCTCGTATTCAATGTCTGGATTTTCTTATTTTTTAAAGTCTTTTTTGTACTGACAACAGGTGCAGAAAATGAGAAACATCAAACATTTTGTGAAACGCAAAAGTGGGTTATCTTGATTCTATTTACTATAATAGTACACGTCCTTATAAAGTGAAGAAACCCAGTTATTTTAACTACAAGCTGTAAGACCTGACGTCAACAATGTATTCCTGGACTGGGTCAGAGAATGATAGCACTTTTAAAGCGGATTCACTCTGACTGCGGTGGAAACTTTTTATTCAAATGAGGTGGAAAGAGTCCATAACAAGTTCTGTTAAAACTGACAGCGTTCGTTTTCATTGTGATTATTTTCTAATCACAAAGAGGACGGACAAATGCCAGTTTTAACATAACTTCCATAACGGATCAGATAATGTAAAGTACTGACTAGTTGTTTGTGTCCAAGTTTTCAACAATAACTATTGTTTATTTGCTTGAGAGAGAGAGGAGAGTGAGAGAGAGAGAGAGAGAGAGAGAGAGAGAGAGAGAGAGAGAGAGAGAGAGAGAGAGAGAGAGAGAGAGAGAGAGAGAGAATTGTGCTGAAGCAGAGTGCACTCTTTCTCACTTACAATGTAGCTTTGTTCTGAATTCATTATTACACGTTCATCATTTCAGAAGGAAGATTTCCAAATGGAGAACTTCTGTAGTCTAGATGTAAAACTGAAGAAGAGGAAGAAGGTCTCTCAACCTTTGAAGTCATCAAATTTTGGCGGCCATTTTCTGTTACTTTACCTCTGAAACCAGGGGAACACATACCTCCTTCAATCGCAAATTACCTTGACTTCTATTCAAAATAGATGGATATTTCTTTTATCAAAAGCAAGACGAATGAACAAGCTTTCAAATGCTACCATAACTCGGTATGCCCATAAATTAATGACGAGCGCCTGATTCTACCGTGTCGTGACACATGATATAGTCTAGGGAGTAATCCGTCCAGAATAGTCGGGAAGCAATTAGCACTGCAAACTGCGATGACGGGTGTGGTGACGCGTTTAGAAAAGAGGTTCAAATCCGAAAGCGGACGACTTATTTTCTCCTATTTTTCTTTTGTTTTATATTTTAATAGGAGATTTTTGGTAATTGCAACACTATTAGGACATAATAAGTGCCGAAGATTAGAGGTGTTACGAGAGAATACGAAACACAAAGAGGAGGAGAGATAAGGACGATGAATGTTTGATAGGAAAGAATAAACAAACCTCATGAGAGCACCCGAAAACCACTTACTCTCCTTCGATCAAAGTAACATTTGATATATATTTTCTCTGAACCGTAGCCCGAGAGCATAATTATGTTATGGGTTTGAAAACAAAAGCTATAATGAGTCTGACTTTGAGTTCAGTATTAAATGAACTTAGGTAACATTTAAGTTTTACTAATACACGTGAGGATATCCTAATTTTGATTTATACAATTAAGTACTGTACAAACCTGCAATAAGTCATCAATGACACATTTCGAGCAATACCACACCGTTAGAGACAATTTCACTAGGACAATAACAATGACAATGATAACGACAATGACAGAAACAATGATAACGACAGTGACAATGACAGAAACAATGACAATGACAATGACAATAACAAAGACAGAAGCAATGACTATGATAATGACAATGACAGCGTTTATTCATCTGTCTTGAAAAGAATGGCCTTGATCGTTCACAACGGTTAAGTGCATTCTCGCATACATACGGCAAGAAAAGACACCATAAAAGAACATGTATTACATACACATTGTTGCTTGCGGTCTTCCGCGATGTTTCTGTTTTATTTAATTTCACGGTCTGCCACTGAACCTCTCTGTGAGCCATTACACTTGACAGTGAACATGTCTACAACAATTGTTTTTATGAACCCTACCCTAACCCTAACCCTAACCTTAAGCATAACCCTAACTGATGGAAACAACACAGCTATATCGTGGTGAATTAGCTATAGTGCGGTCAAAAATTCGTGGTGCGACTTATTTTCAAATATCTTCTCATCTATCGAAAATAAGTTCTCCAATTTTTGCACAGTGACTTGAACCAATTTATCTTAACAGATTTTTGTAAACACCTGCAAGCTGTGTTCTAGAAAATTCCTTAATAAATACTAATAAAAAATCCAAGTACGTGGTTTCTACAGATTTTTTAACGTTTATAGCTGGGGCAATATAGCTTTTAATAGCAAGTCCGTCAGGTTTTTATAATCGGGACATTATGCTTACTGAACGCATGTTTTGAGAGCCGTTAGTGCAAAAATGTGTTCACTATAACAATAATTTATTGTAACAAGTTTTGCAAGTAAAAATTGTCATCAATTAGCTTTGTTGTAGGCCATATGCGAGATCAAAAGGTATGTGAGAAGCAGGAAGTGCTGTGAATAGTACTATTTTACGTGTGGCTGAGATTTCAAGTATTTTATATAAATTTATGAAGAAAAGTTTTTTTAATCTAGCCCCAATTGTTGTGGAAAAATATTATTTAGTTAAGACAAATTGATACAAACTGCTATGCAAAGAATGGATGACGTTGCTTTAACCATTAAAG